AACTCCATCTCAAAAAAAAAAAAAGGAAAGAAAAGAAAATATAATTATATCATCACTTGTGTAGTGTAAGGTATTAACTTTAGTAAGACATTAATGTATACCTCATCTACTACCTTGAAGCTGTATCTTTATCTTCAAAAGTTTAAAAGTCAAACAGCTTTAGACCAAGTCTCACTTTTCATCACCAGGGTTTCACATGACTAAGCCTGATATGATCCGCAAGTTGGAACAAGGAGAGGAGCTGTGGACACAGAGAATTTTTCCAAGTTACAGCTACCTAGGTGAGTCTATAAATGAAGTCTAGTGAACATTAAATTTCAAGTAGTTCAAGCCTTTGAATGTTTTTAGGGATCTATTTTTGTTATTGTGGATAAAATAAATATAACATCAAATATACTATCTTAAACTTTTTAAGCATATAGTTCAGTGGCATTAAGTACATTCACATTGTTGTGTAACCATCACCATCATCCATCTCCAGAGCTCTTCATCTTGCAGAATGGAAGCTCTGTACCCATTAAAAATATCTTCCCTTTACCCCTGCTCCCTAGCCCTGCCAACCACCATTGCACTTTCTGTCTCTGTAAATTTGACTACTCTAGGTACCTCTTATAAGTGGAATCATATAGTATTTATCCTTTTTGTGACAGCCTTATTTTACTTAACATAATGTCCTCCAGGTTCATCCACTTCCTTCCTTTTTAATGCTGATTAATATTCTGTTGTATGTATATACCACATTTTGCTGATTCATTCATCCATCAGCGGTCAGTCGGGTTTCTTTCATGTTTTGGCTATTGTGACTAACGCTGCTATGAATGTGGGTGTACAAATATCAGTTTTACTCCCTGGTTTCAGTTCTTTTGGGTATATTCTCAGAAGTGGAATTGCTGGATAATATGGCAATTCCGTTATTAATATTTAAGGAATCACCATACTGTTTATATAGCAGCTGCCTCATTGTTGCAGTTTCTTCACCAGCACTTGTTATTTTCTATATTTTTTATAGTAGCCATCATATTAGTGATCTATTTTTAAAGACCTGAAATCTGTAAAGTGCCTATACTTGGCTGACCTTTATGCCTCTAAAATGTAAATTTTAGGTATGAATATCTCTCCCCATGCAAATCTTTTCCTCGTTTGCCTGTGTTTATGGAAATACTGGCTGCTATTACCTTACCAAGAATCTAGTCCATGTTTTGTGGGTATAATGTACATACAGATCTAAAGTGTAAAGTTCTTTGAGTTCTGACAGAAGTATAAACCCATGTTTCTCACACTCCAATCAAGATAAAAGACAATTTCATTAACCCATTAAGTTCCATCAGGCCTCTTCCAAGTCAGTCTCTCCCATTAGGACAATCACAGTTGTGATGTCTACCAACGTAGATTCATTTTGTCTATTGTAAACCTTTTCCATGTCTGCTTTCTTTCACTCAGCTTCATGTCTGAGAGATTTAGACATTTTTCTGCATGCATAAGTAGTTTGTTAACTGTGGAATAGTTTTCCATTATATGAATATACCAGTTTATGCATCTCCTGTTGAAAGACATTTGGGATGTTTCTAGTTTAGAGCTATTATGAACAAAGCTGCTATAATCATTCTTGTCAAAATATTTTTGTGGACATGTTTATTTTTCTTCAGTAAATACTTAGCAGTGATATTGCTGATTCATATGACTCTTTTAGAAACTACCATTTTAGTTTAGTAGTTTAGTAGCTAAAACTACTGTACCACTTTAGACTTTCATCAGCACTGTATGAGAATTTTGTTTGCCCCACATTGTTTTCTACATTTTATGTTCATTTTGCCCATTCTGGTCATTTTGGCCATTCTGGTTGTATATCTTTGCAGTTTTAATTTAGATTTATCTTATGGCTAATAATGTTGAAGACTTTCTCAAGTGCTTTTTATATCAGAGGCACCTGTTCAAGTGTTTTCATGTTGTTGTTATTTGTTTGTTTGTTTATTTGTTTTGAGATGGAGCCTCACTCTATCACCCAGGCTGGAGTGCAGTGGCGCAATCTCGGCTTACTGCAACCTCCACCTCCCAGGTTCAAGCAATTCTCCTGCCTCAGCCTCCTGAGTAGCTGGGATTACAGGCATGTGCCAACATACCTGGCTAATGTTTCTGTATTTTTGTAGAGACGAGGTTTCACCACATTGACCAGGCTGACCTTGCAATCGCCTGCCTTGGCCTCCCAAAGTGCTGGGATTACAGGTGTGAGCCACTGTGCTCAGCCCTGTTCCAGTGTTTTATCCATTCTTTATTTAGGTATTATTTATTTTTCCTTGAGTATTAGGAATTCTTTCATATTCTGGATAGAAATCTTTTGTTCAATGTTTGTATTACAAATTTTTTTCCTAGTTTATGGCTTGCATATTCATTTTAATGGTGTCTTTTGACGAACAGAAGTTTTTAATATAACTGGAACAGAAGTCCAGAGAATCATTGTTTCTTTTATAATTAATTATTTGATCTCTCAAACAAATATTTGTCTTTTCTAGATATAGTGAGGATAGTTCTCTTTTCTAGGTATGATGAGGATAGTTCTCTGTATTTTCTGTGTATATTTTGCTTTTATGATTAGTTCTGTGGTCCACTTCGTGTTAAGTTTTGTTGATGATATGGGGTAGAATTCGAGAATCTGTTCTTCTATATGGTTATCCATTTGTTCCATTGTTATTTGTTGACCAGATTACTCTGAGGATCATAGAGAAAATTGATCACATTTATGTCAGTCTATTTTTGGACAATCTGTTGTTTCCTTGGACATATTTTAAGTCACATTGACAATACCTCTTGGTCTTTGATTATTGTAACTTTATAATATGTCTGGAAGTCAGTTAGAGCTACTGAGGAGGCTGAGGCAGGAGTACTGCTTGAACTCTGGAGTTGAAGGTTGCAGTGAGCACTTTTTTTTCTTTCTTTTTTCTTCCAGACAGAGTCTTGCTCTGTCACCCAGGCTGGAGTACAGTGGCATGATCTCAGCTCATTGCAACCTGTAACTCTCAGGTTCAAGCAAGTCTCATGCCTTAGCCTCCTGAAGAATAGTTGGAATTACAGGTGTGCACCACCACGCCAAGCTAATTTATATGTATACACACACACACACACACACACACACACACACACGCACACACATACATACATACACACACATATATATATATATTTAGAAGAGATGGGGTTTCACCATATTGGCCAGGCTGGTCTCAAACTCCTGACCTCAGGTGATCAGCCTCAGCCTCCCAAACTGCTGGGATTACAGGTGTGAGCCACTGCCCCTGCCTATTTCTAGTAGTTTTAATTAGATATAGTGATTATAATTTTAACCATTAGTAACCTTTTAAGAGAGTAAACTAAAAAGTAGATAGTTATGAATTGTCTGCTCCATACTAGCATTCTGTAACAGATTAGCAAATGTTATGAATACATCATCTCACAACTCTATAGATATATGATTCCTCATGTACAATATTTCAGTGTTTAACAGATCCAAATATATTTAGTCTTTCTATTCTGTATAAAATTAAAGATCCAAAAGTATGTAAATTTAAACTTATATTTGATAATGAGTGTTTCAGTAGTTTATCTTACTTAGAAACTGTAAGTGATTATTAACTTAGCATGACTGTTAGGTTACAAGTTACCAAGAAGATTTTGGAAACAGTTTTTTAGGCAGATATTATAAAACAACTGTGGAAAAGCTTATTTATAAAACTCTTATTCCACTTATATTAACCTACACATATAGTATTTATTATGTTTGGATTGTTCATGAAAATTTCATCATGCATTGAACAAAACTAGCCATCATCTCAAGTTATTTCCTTTTTAATTATTTTTACAGCACATGCAAGTAAAAGGCAATTAAAAGCAAATCAAGAAAACCAGAAAAGTTAAATACATATTTTTTTTATTTTTGAGTTGGAGACGGAGTTTCACTCATGTTACCCAGGCTGGAGTGCAATGGTGCGATCTCGGCTCACCGCAACCTCCGCCTCCTGGGTTCAGGCAATTCTCCTGCCTCAGCCTCCTGAGTAGCTGGGATTACAGGCACGCACCACCATGCCCAGCTAATTTTTTTGTATTTTTGGTAGAGACGGGGTTTCACCATGTTGACCAGGATGGTCTCGATCTCTTGACCTCGTGATCCACCCGCCTCGGCCTCCCAAAGTGCTGGGATTACAGGCTTCAGCCACCGCGCCCGGCCCATATGTTTGTTTTGTTTTCCTGCTGTGTTTAATGTATATAAAATAGTGCATATCAGACAACCATTTTTACTATATGTTTATTTGTGCATTTTTCTTAAGTTGAATTTATAGTTTTTATAGTGTTAAATATAATGGTAACTTACTTGACTAGTATAGCCAAGTAGACTAAAAATGTGTGCTGAGAGATGCACCTCTTTTTCTTAAACCAACAATATTAAATTCATCTTAGTTATCAAAATTTTAATCCCAAGTCACATGAACTCGAAAGGCCTTTTGGTTAGTTCCTATATTTCTGGGGGTGTTAGGAACATTTCATTTATATAAACACTCTTTTTTCCCTTCAAACGATTTGCATAAACTCCTTTAAGGGGTTTGTAAATTAATTTGGCCAAGTGCTGTGGCTCACACCTGTAATTCCAGCTACTCAGGAGGCTGAGGCAGGAGGATCGCTTGAGGCCAGCAGTGTGAGGCCAGCCCAGGCAACATAGCAAGACCCAGTCTCTGACAAAAATGTATCCCAGTGCAATGATGTGTACCTGTAGACCCAGCTATTCAAGCAGCTGAGGCAAGAGAATCACTTAAGCCCAGGAGTTCAAGGCCACAGTGAGCTATGTACTACTGCATTCCAACCTGGGCAAGAGTGAGACCTTGTCTCTAAAGAACTAAAATTTTTAAATAAATCAATACCATCTCGAGGTAAGAAAATATCACATATACATAGCATACATATATAGACATACACAGGCCAACAGACCCAAATAGAGATCTTATAACTTTCATTCTAAAATGTTAGCCAGGAATCAGTAAAATAGTATTATACTCTCATCTTTGCTCCACTGTATATTTTTACCTGAATTGTGTTTCTGATACATGGAACAAGTTAAGGTTAGCTGTTCAATATGTGGGCTAATGCTTTTTTTTTTTTTTTTGAGACGGAGTTTCACTCTTGTTACACAGGCTGGAGTGCAATGGCGCGATCTCGGCTCACTGTAACCTCCGCCTCCTGGGTTCAGGCAATTCTCCTGCCTCAGCCTCCTGAGTAGCTGGGACTACAGGCACAC